CCAGCAGAAGATTTAAAAAGACAAGTACAGTATTTTCTTCTTCTTCTTCTTGGACGAACCGGGCAAGAGTACAGATCACGTAAAGTGAGAATCCTCTATTAATAATAGTCTACATGTATGAATTAAAAGATTTTGATATCAATTACCATAAATTTAAAGTTCGGAGCAAACTATAGCAGGAGCTGAATCATTCTGCATGCCCCTGATATGTAGGTTGAAAAGGGAATTCCTTAAGTCAGTCTACAAACATTCAAAATCAAAGTGTCCAATGATAACAACTATTCAACAATTGGATGGTTCTTATACATGTTGCGCACCATGTACATTTGCAATAACAAGACTCCTAGCTTTCTAGCTCAGCTTTAACTTAAAATCAACAGATACTATCTTATTCAAGCAGGAACCATATAGAGCATACAAGGGAGAATAATTACTTTCAAAAAGTTCCAGGAAATACCTTAGGGTTCTTTGCCAAAACAGAGTTTGAGTCACTGCCTCCAGAAACTGAAGGACCCAATTCATCAAATTCATCATCAGCTTCTACAGTATTTGGCAGGGAAGCTTTCAACACTGAAACAACATCAATTTCATCTCTAGGAAATTCCAATGAGTTTTGTGTATCAGTAGTCGAATACAGCTTCACCAATTGTACAGCAGTAGGTATCCTCTTAGTGAATGAGCTGATATAACTGTTCCTGCTGGCATAGAAGTGGGATTGTGATAGACGTTTTAATTTCCACAAATCAAAAATAGAAATCTCCAAGTACTACTATGATCATGCTGAATGTGCTCGTTAAACACTGTTGAGTGAATCTGAACTAAAATGGTAAGAACATTAAATAGGAAAAGGACTCCCATTGTGAAGATTGATGCTGAATGGTTCTCATTTTAGATTGACTGGGCTTTACATGAGGCTTATTTTATGCCACATTACTTAAGTGCCTCACAAGGTACAGGAACTATTCTCCTCGGAACTGCATCAATTAGGATACAAGCAGCCAAAAGTATGATGGTCCTTTTGCAAGAAAAGCTACATGGCCTGTTCAAAGGTTCCAAGTTATGGTTTACATGCTACTCGTTTCCTACAACCCCTGCTGAAGTTCCCAAAAAGGAGCCTCGAAAGATATTCATTAGATACTGGATGAAGCTTCTAAGCAACACTTACAGCTGAGCAGTGTTGTCCAGACTCTTAAACTGTTCTGGTGACAAGTCAAACGCTAGATGGCTTAGGGTGGTAAATGATGCATTCAGTCACTAAATCACGACATCGTCATCCAGTCGCTAAAATTTCTTCAGCATTTTCACAATGCAATGAATTACAGTATGGATCTTGCATCCAGAGTGCCAAGCCTCTATAATCCAGACATAGCACTCGATATAATCAGATTGGATGTTAAGATATCTAGTTGGATCTTGCAATAGCCAAGGTCTAAGAATCTCACTGAATCAGGTCCTTCATGGTTAAACATCGCCACACTTCATTTTTTTTTAAGCTTACAAGTGCATCTAGAAAAGTTAAAGCTCAAATCCAACTAGTTAACGACAACCCAACTAGTTAACGACACTCCAACTAGTTAACGACCAAAACAGCTATACTATACCAAGGACACAGTCGTATCAAAAACTCAAAACTCTTCCAACTTAATTATTGAATACCTAGTAAACAAACTATGAGTATGGAAAATTCACCGACACATCTAGCTTACCAACACGTCTAGCCTAGAACAGCCCAAACTCGCCAAATTCCCCTTCCACCACACCAAAACTCCTAACGTGAGATGAGGGTTGACTCCTATAATAATTTTATAAACTAACATGTCCTGCCTCCGCAGGGCGAGAGCCCCTCTTATTGGCCAAAATCTGAAATCACGCAGAGGTATCTTTTCTCAAATCTGTTTAATTGCTCCAGTATCATGTCAAATGCCTGGTGAGAATTGAAAGTGGGTTACTCTGATATCATGTCAAATGCCCTTTCCGCTGCACCAAAACTCCAAAGTTGTGGCGAAACTTGAAGTCATAGTTTCATACTAAAACCAAGCTAACACGCGGAAAAACCTAAACTCACATCAAATTGGTTCAATTCAGCTCTCCACATTCAACTTCTGGTCCACAAAACCCTAAATAACGACTCACAATACCTTGATCTCTAAATAACCCATCAATAAAATGCATAATAAATCGAGGAAATAGAAACGATACCTTGGCTTGAGCCCTTGGCCGCCATTGTGGAAAAGGGGCGCTCGAAACGAAGCTCGCGAGTCTCCTCCCTTGGCTTGAGCCCTTGGCCGCCATTGTGGAAAAGGGGCGCTCGAAACGAAGCTCGCGAGTCTCCTCGTTCCGCCTGTGAAATTTCACGAACCGGTAGAGGTTAATGACAGATCGAGATTAGGGTTAGGGTTAGGGTTTTGGGCTCGCCTGAGATTAGCGCGGGAAAAAGCGGAGGCTTTGATCGCAGCCTCTTCAGCATTTGAGAGCGAGGAGCTGGGGGACTCGCAGTCGTGGATGGTGTTGTCGTAAATAAGTTTTGAAAATGGTGGTAATCTTTGAGGGAGTACGGACTGCGCTGGGCTGAAATTAGGCCTGGTCAGTATTACTAGATATTTTTTATTTTTTTTTTGGACGCTTATTTTTATGTTTTTGCTTTAATAATTATCAGATGCAATTATTAGTGTATTTTCACTAAAATATAAATTAGTCATTTATATCTGCAATTCATCTATTAGTGGATTATCGTAATATCTCAATTAAATGAGCATATTTAGGTCTACTAGTTTGGATCCGGATTATCTCATTATTTTATTTTATTTTATTTTATTTTGCTTTAACTTTTTATCCCCATATAATCCATTCTATGAGAGATGGTCACATACATTATCATAATCTTCCACCCCGTATGGAACAATAAAATAAATATTCAAATAGTTGGAGTTAGACTACTATTGATAGTATCCAACACGTGGATAATATCAGCCAAATTTTTTAATTTAGAGTCCGAAATTAAAAATCCAAACTGATCAATGTGATCTACTACATATGAGCTACTTAGAAATAAATTTTCAATGGATTTCAATGTGTTTTTGGTCATGTATCAAGGGGCGAAAAATTAAGCAAAACTTTATCAAAATTCCGAAAAGCTGATTTTAATAACATGAGTCAATGATGTTAAAATATTTTGATCACATTCATATATTTGAATTTTTAAAGCCTCCAAATTTTAAAATTCGGTCGATAGCATCCGCGTGCTGCATACTATAAATAGTAGTAGCCTCGCTTTACTCAATACAATTTGTAAAGGATATTGTAGTATGCTTAGCACCCTCATAACATATTAATCTTTTAAATGCGAACACTATAAATGAGAAGACCCATATCAAATCTTGATTGCACATTAATTGTAACAAGAAAGTGGGTCTACTATCTTGCTAGCATTTTTGATGGTTTGTAATGATTTCTTCAAGTTATCATGCCAAATTTGACAATTTACTCCTTGTTGTTTGCATATTTGTTTCGTGAGCCTTCCTTCATAAATGGTGGTGCCACAAGAAGTATGGTGGTCGTTGCAAGAAGAGATTACATAAGATCTCCTATTTGAGACTCACTGTAATATTTGTTTTTTGTTCATAAATATATGTCAATTACAAGCTAGACGTTGATGGGGGTGTCAACTTGATCGATGTAGCTGAGACGGTTGAGACTTTATTTCCAAGATACTTAAGATCAGCCTCCCTTTCATTCATTGATGCATGTCGTAATTACACTCAAAATCTCCAATCATGATGTTGCCTTATTTATCACGCGTCAATATGGATTTGGATCCTCTCCGCTACAAAAAAAAAATAGTGGAGGGACCACTACTTTTAATCTCAATCGCTGATTGTTTAGTAGGCGGTTATGGTACAATCTAAATCTAACACTTATCGTACCCCCGTGTATTGCACTCATTCCTAATTTGCACTAAAAAAATCGCAACCATCAACTGGATAATCAATGGCTGTGATTATGTAGTGGTCCATCTATTGTTTTTTTGTAGTGGAGAGGATCTGAATCCTTTGAATATAGGACACATGCTAGGATTCCGATCCTTTTCAGGACTTTTTTTTGGGTGGAGAGACCACTACATTATTAGAATCATTGATTGTCTAATTGATGGTTATGATTTGTCTTTTGAGTACAAATTAAATATGAGTGAAATACCTGCGTGCCTGGTGAGTGCTAAATTTAGAATGAATTTTAGTCGCTCACAATATAATCAACGGTTAGTATAAAAAGTAGCAGCATCCCCATTACTTTTTTTGTAGCGGAGATCGATCCAAATTCCACGTGCTAGCAAGCACGGCAGTGATAGGTCTCAAGGATATATTTCCTGATTTTGTTCTTGCAGAGGGAGGGAGGAAGAAGTAAGAAAGAGTCACTAATGAAAATAGCAGTTCATGATATTTTTCAAAATCAATAGTAACTCAAGAACAACACAATTTAATCCAACATTTTTGTTGGGAAATAAACAGGACAACAAGACATTTCCCGTCTTTGTGATGAGATGAGAACAAAAAAAATAGAAGAGAAAAACAAACAGAGAGAAAAATTACACACACAAGATTTACCGAGGTTCAGCTCAATTTGAGCCTACGTTCTCACCCGCCTCTTCTTCACCGTTTCCACTATAATCAAATGAAAGCATACAAAAGGTTTTCTCTCAAATTGGTATAACGTAACTTGAGGATCATTTTCTTTCAAACTCACTTGAGGATTACATGTTATATGTGGTTCTTCTTCTTGCTTCTTGTTGTCAACCTTCATCATCTCCCCTACAAACCTCTATTTATATGGAGGATATGTCTCTTGGGTACACCACATTCGTTGCACGAAAAAGTCCAAAGACCAACCTTTCCTTCTCCCAATGCATGAAGAAAGACAATCTATCAATGCATGCAGAATATGAACAGGTAGCCAACTTTCAAGAGCTTCAATACGCCTCAGAATTTCCATGGATCAAATCCGTATTAATTTATCATCATGGGGATGTACCCCCGTTCCCATCAACTTTGATGTCTGCCATATGAATCTCAAGAGTGCTCAAGGAACATATTCTATTATCTATACCAAAATTCAAGAAAAGCATGTCTGAGGCTGACACATCTATATATAATTCTAGCGTAAATTTTTTCTTGCAGACCGTATAATATATATATGCAACATTTCACTAAAACCTTACGTACTTCCTTCCAAAATTCACACACCACAACCGGTAGAAACCAGATGGGAAAAAGGAATAAAACATCACTTCATCAGCTTATTTGAAGTACTCTTCTAGTCTTCACATCAGTCACAAAACAGGGATCTCCTAAGTAAGCAGCAACGGGTCCCACTCAAAAGATCCCCATTATGATCTCATTACATACCATAACCATAACCAACTCATATAACCTACAAGAAACATCCTTAAGATGCATACACGCTGCAAGGAGAAAAAAAACACTAGAATTTTTCAGAGAAAAAATTTTCAGAGAAAAATTTTTCAGAGAAAAATTTTCAGAGAAGGATTTTTGTCTCTCGTCATCTACAAGACATCTGAGAGCCAACTATCCAAAGACCCTTCAAGTTGATACGCGCTCTCACTCTCCCAACCCTGCAACGGCCACATCTCATACGCACCACCCCACACTTTTGCCTCCAACCCACCCAAATCCCAATCCAGCCATTTACTATCATCAAACCCCTCATCGCAATGCCCCCACCTCCCCGCCCCACCCGCATCTCGCTCCTCCGTGCTTTATACGGGCCCCCCAGCTCTCGCTCCTCGCTCGCGGGGCTCGTGGCCCCACCGCCGACGCCGTCGTTGTCGAGGCCCGAAGTTCACGCTCCGTGGTTGTTGGGGTCCGCGTCTGTGACCGTGCTCCCTTCCTGCTCGCTGTGAGCGCTTCTTACCGTCTCGTTTTACCGTCCTGCTTCTTCTTGGATAGTTTGCTTGGCCCTCACGCGCCTTTTCGGTTGCTCGAGACTTTTCTAACGTCGAGGGCCAAGGATTCTGTGTTACAGTCGAATATGGTTATTTTTCGACTGAGATGCGAGTTCCAGTAGTTCTTGATCTCGTTATCGGTTCGTCCAGGGAGGTGTCCCGCTATCACAGACCACCTGTGTCAATGTATCATTCGTATCAGAAACTACTCATTAATAAACTAAGTATAGTGTAGCTCCCTACATTTTCAAGTTGAAGTGATGAATTTTTTGTAGATGGCTAGTGTAATTGGCACCCATGCTCATTGAAATCAAGATCTTGAGAGCTATCAAAGATTTTGGTGTCTTTGATTTTATCATTAAATTGTTCGACTTCGGTTATGGGCTTAGGAAACATGAGCAGCTCCATCAAATTGCCATAACGTGGGACTTTGATCTTAGTCCCATCGATACCCCCCCACCCTTCGATCAAAAACTTTACTTTTAATTACTCGACAAAATTTCTTATGTTAAATGAGACAATTAGCCCCTATTTGTATTCTAAAGATGCTTGGTTTCGTCTAAGATGTCTCGGTTCTATATCAGAAAAAAATCAAAAGAAAAGGTTTAAGTATCTTAATCATAAGCAAGAAAAGTATTTTGGTTGGATTTGGAATTTCATGATTCACAACCTCATGTGATTCTGAAAAGCACCTGAAGTTGTATTTTTTTTTTTCTCAGACAAAATGCTTCCATTTTAGAAAGGTTAAGTTTAACTTTGATTTCCACCCAGAGAAATTGACATGAGGCTTGCATGTTGAGTCCATACTATACTGGACCAGATCAACTTGATTGGACCAACTTATGAGCAAGAAAGGGACTGCATAATCTGCATGTGATGACTTTATGCAGTGAATCAAGGACCATAGCATTATTTGGGTCCATGATATTTCAAGGGGCCCCATAGTTTCCCAACTTTTATGGTATTCTACCTATATTTTGCTCTATGTATTTCTGTGTATAATTAATTTGTTTTAAGGACAAATACTATTTGAATTAAGACATCTTCCTTTAAAAAATAAAAATAAAAACTATGTCAGTTTATTGGGTTTTTGCATATATACCCCTAAAAGCTTCCATATTTGCAATTTTACCCTTCAGATCTTGGTATTTGCAAAATGACCCTCCAGCTATCTCACATTGGGCTTTTCTGCCCCTCCAATTTAGCAATGTTGGTTTCGAAACAGGGCAATGTCAAAAAATTTCAATGTTTTCCGATAGATTTGCAATATTTTCCATTTAAAAACTAAAATCGTTAGGAAAACCCAGTGTGAGAATATTGGGGGGTAGTTTTGCAAATAACAAGATTTGGAGGTAAGTTTGCAAATATGGAAGATTTGAGGGGGTATATGGAGAAAAAAATCCTAGTTTATTTGCTCGCACAAATAAGGGAAATGTTTAGTCATCCAATAGCTATATCAAAATTATGTTCAATTGTTATAAAAATTGCAAATTGCAAGTAATAATATTACTCAACAATGCGAAAATTGGCTGTTCCCGTAGAATGTCCTAGTAATGGTTCCTCAATGTATGTAAAGTTCCTCCACTTTCAAACTCTAGATTCTCTTGGAAAAGAAAGGCTCGAGATTTCCTTATCGAGCAATACTTGATGATGCATGGATCCAAATTCTCGCTTTCACGCTAAAATCTGTTCCTACTTTACACTTGGGAAGAATATTTATACCATCCACAAAAACATAATGAACATTTTGATTCACCTTTAAACATAACAAAATAGATGCCAATTTGAAAATTCCTCCGACATCATTGGAAATTTATTTCTACACCAAACTACTAGACGAGAGATAGGATAAGAAATGAGTGCATTCACATGACATTAGAGGTTGTTGCGTGAGGATAGAATGAGAGAGAATCAATCCACAGTCACATGCAGCAGTGGAGACCATTAAATATACCAATCGGAAGAAGTAATAAGATTATAATTAATGGACAAACGAGGACTATGCTAGGCCAATGATTTAACTTAGCGGAAGAGATGAATCATGTACGGCCAACTTAGGCCAATGGTTATATGAATCATGTGTGATCTCTTGCGCTAAGGTTTCTTTTTTTTTCCCATTATAAGAGGGAGGAAAAAAACTTAGCGGAAGAGATCATACATGATTCATATAACAAACCCCAAAATTAATTTAACACGATAATATGATTAGTCCCGAAGATTTTGGGTCCATAAGAATTTAGAAATGCTGCTCATTTTCCTATATAAACATTATATGGTGTGCAAATGTGAATGTGGGACCCTCACTACTAAAGGCTGCTTATGTTGGTGTGTGAAAGCTACCAGTGTTGCAGAGCAGCAGGAGTTCAGTACAGACCAAGCTTTTAGGCACTGCTCAACTTTGATCCCTCTTCTCACAATGCAAAAAAATAACAATAATAATAACTGTATTAAGAAAAAACTTAATTTGCTTGATGATGGTGGTTTAAATTATTTAGAAAAAAAAAACCATATAAAATAAATAATTTTATTACCTATTTCCAAGTGAAGCATGAAGCTTGACAATGGTCTCCTCCTCTTCCTGAGTGATATTTCCCCTCTTAAGATCAGCTCTCAAGTAATTGATCCACCTCAATCTACAGCTCTTCCCACACCTTAACAACCCTTTAATTTCAAAAGTCAAAGCATTAACTAATTTTCCCAGAATTAAATTAACAAATTAAACTATGAAAATGCATGAGCAAGTGACTAGATTAATTAATTGATTTACCTGCATTTTTGGGCAAAGATCTCCAAGAGCCTTCACCATGAGAAGCAATGTACTTGGAGAGTATCTCATCTTCCTCTGATGTCCACCTCCCCTTCTTCAATCCCACCTTCTCACAACAAGGAGCTCTCCCCATTCTCTCTCTCTTCACTCTCTCTCTAGAAATTCTACACTTGTTCTCTTATCTTATGGTGGTGGGGGGGGGGGGGGGGAGAGCAAGAGAGAGAGAGAGAGAGAGAGAGAGAGTTTGGCTTTAATTTGTTGTTGTCACCTTTTCCCAAGGCTTTGTTTGTGTATATATGTACACCATGAGGGTAGCGGTGTGTGTACATATAAGAGGACGCACTTATCCAAGATTGAGTTTACTATATAGGGTCCCCACAGATAATCGAAATTAATTATATTTACACTGTAAATTATTCCTTAAAAAATATATATTTACATTGTAATAATTATTCCTCAAAAAAAAACATTGTAAAGATTAATTAGATTTAAATAGTGCCAGTATGAATATATATAGATTTTGTCAGGATATTTCACGGTAGGGTTAAACCGTTTTCATCCGATCATTTGTATGGACCTAAACAACTTGAACGCATATAGAAATTATGTTTATGTTAATTGAAAATTATATTTACATTGTAAAAAAATATATTCCAAAAAAAATGTAAAAATTAATTAAATTCAAATAGCATGATCATGAATATAGATTTTATCAAAATTTCTCATAGTAGATTACACTGCTTTCATCCAATCTGCCCCCATATAAATTGCTCTGATCATTTTTATTATTTTCTACGAATAATAATTAAGCATCAATGTAAGAGTGTCAACTTAGTCATCAACTATAAATATGAGTTTTAATATATAATTCTGGTTTTTTTTTCCTATCTACTAGTTTGTTATCTTAGCAATGCACTAATGAGAAATAAATGGTCGGAGTGACCCGGTATTTGACTTAGAAAGAAAAGAAGTTAATATTGGGAGAAGCTGGGAAAATATGTCTAATATTGGGAGAAATTAATAGGGATTTTTTACATAAGCTATCTTTTAAACAGGGTGAGAATACGAAAACCGTATCTAATCAATATATAGAAACCAGTGACGGCAAGGCCCTCTCCTGGTAGCTCACATCTTCCAATGTTCCCCCTCTCTTCACCATACTCTCTTACTGTAAATGTTACCTCTTATACTTTCATGAATATATAAATATACATGAACAGGGCTTTAAGACTCTCTTACTGTAAATGTTACCTCTTATACTTTCATGAATATATAAATATACATGAACAGGGCTTTAAGCTCTGTTTCTTTTGTCAAAAAAAAAAGATACTTTCATGAATATATAAATATACATGAACAGGGCTTTAAGCTCTGTTTCTTTTGTCAAAAAAAAAAGATAATTCTAATAAAAACCAAGCCTTTTGACCAATTTCTAATAAAATTTCAATTGAACTTTCCAAAATACCCTTGAAAACACGTGTCAAGCACGAGATTTGTCTTCTTAATCAAACCTAGCGTCACACACAATTTGTCTTCTTAATCAAAATTTTATTAAAAAATATGTCAGGATAATTGATTTCTATGAGAATTTCATTTAAAATAATTCTTACATTAATTCAACTTACAGTTGGATTTCATATTTTCATCCCATTTTTAAAGACGTTTTCTACGGAAAAAATTAAAATTGATATTGTTTTCAGAGAAAAATAAATATAAAACAGACGCCTCTCATTCTTCAACTAGTAACAACTGTTTCAGGAATAATAGATGATATCCAATTATATATTCTCTTTATATTATTTCTCCTTTTCTCCCATTTGAATGACAAATATCAGAAGTAAAAAGTGAATCAAAAAAGTAAATTCAAAAATTTTGTTATATCATAGAAACCACTAAGTGTAAATCTCACTCCAGAAAGCGACTCGTGTCACGATAAACTGGATATTAAGTCGACCCAGGTCTTATGAAGGCCGACTCGAAAAACGTCCTTACGCGAGCTGTTTCAGATATTCGAGATGTCCTCACTCAGCAGGCCGAGTTGAGAGGCGTCTTCACTCGATCTCTCTCAAAAGATCGAGATGAAAGGTGTTCCTCTCAAATTTAGCAATAACAGTGAAGAAATTATAGAAACTCAGAAGAATCAGGCAAACCAGGCGGCGGTCGACCGGTCCGGTCGACCGCATTCGTGCACAAAGCTTACTGTGCGACAGAAAGGAGGTCGGTCGACCGGGCCAGTCGACCGCAGGTGTTTCGGTCGACCGGTGCGGTCGACCGAGGGGTTCTCTGGAGTTTTGGGTTTTCTGCTGGGAGCTGGTCGGTCGACCGGACCGGTCGACCGGAATTGATCGCGGTCGACCGTGCCGGTCGACCGACGCTGTTTTGGGCTGGGCTTTCAGGTTTTCGACCCCTCCTTGCCCCGTGGACGTAGGCAACTTGCCGAACCACGTAAATTGTGTGTTCTTGCTGTGATTGTGGTTTGCATATTGTTTGTGGTTTAGTTCTAGTTATTGTTCGTGTTGCCCTAGAAAGCTTCCGCCGCGCACAACAATTGGTATCAGAGCTAGATCGACAACATGGGAGATGCAAGCACGTCAGGTTCGTCTCTAACAAAGGCGATACAGAGTCTGAGCATCAATAACACGAAGATTGATGTTCCGAAGTTCGATGGCAAGATCAATTTTGGATTGTGGAGGTGTCAGGTGATGGATGCTTTGGATGCACAGAATTTGGAGGAGACTCTTGAGTTAAAAGAGAAACCCGCTGAGTTGGAGGATAAGGTTTGGAGAAAGATGAACAGTAGAGCTTGTGGTGTTATTAGGTCATGCTTGACGCCGGATCTTATTTATGATGTTATGAACGAGACGTCGGCGAAGAAGATGTGGGAAACACTCAATGAGAAATATCTTACGAAGAGCATTGAGAATCGGCTTCACTTGAAGAAGAGATTTTACCAGTTCAAGATGAAGAGAGGGGTTTCCATCAGGGAGCATGTCAACAATTTCACTAAGCTACTTTCAGATATGGCCAATGTTGATATTATAGTTGAGGATGAAGACAAGGCGATGCTACTTCTGTGTTCGTTGCCCGAAGATGATTATGGTACGTTCGTTCTCACTATGATCAATGGAAGAACTACAGTTAGCTACAAGGAGGTGACCTCAGCTTTGGTGAACTATGAGTTGAGGAAGAGTGATGGTGAATCCTCCGAGAAGGCATCGGGAGATGCTTTAGCAGTTCGAGGCCGAGATCCAAACCGTCGTCAGTTTAACCGCTCAAAGTCAAAGAATAGGAGTGCCTATAAGAGTGTTGGTAGAAATCAATGTCAGTATTGTAAAGAAGAAGGACATTGGAAGATTGACTGCCCAAAGTGGAAAGAAAAAGCCGGAAAGAATAAGGGGAAAGCTGCACAAGCTTCAGAAGTGAATATTGTAAAAGCTATTGGTGAGCATTCAGATTCAGATTCTTCAGGCTATTCATGCCCTGCTTTACCGTCGGTTTGCTATGCGGATTCCACGGAGTGGATGATGGATTCGGGAGCTACATATCACATCTGCCCTAAGAGGGAGTGGTTTTCTAGCTTTGAGGAGCTGGAAAGAGAGGGAGTGGTTCTCTAGCTTTGAGGAGCTGGAAAGAGGGGATGTCGTGCTTATGGGTAATGATCACGTATGCCCTATTGGTGGTATTGGTTCAGTCCGGATCAGGATGCATGATGGTGTAGTGAGGAAATTGAAGGAAGTGAGGTTCGTGCCGCAGTTGACGAAGAACATCATTTCTCTTGGGACTTTGGAGGCAGCAGGATATCGAGTGATCTTAGAGGATGCTACAGTGAAGGTCACGAAGGGTTCTATGGTGGTGATGCGAGGTGTCAGGGAAAACAACCTATACTACTTGAAGGGCAAGACAGTTACAGGGGGTCTGGCAGCTTCTATCACTACAGAGGAGGACACTACCACCTTATGGCACATGAGACTTGGACACACAGGAGATAAGTCCCTACAGTCATTGGCTAAACAGGGGCTATTGAAAGGTGCTAAGACTTGCAAGATGGAATTGTGTGAGCATTGTGTACTTAGGAAGAAGACTAGAGTGAAGTTTGGCACCGCTGTTCATAACATCCTAGGTACATTGGATTATATTCACACAGACGTTTGGGGTCCTTCCAAGAACACATCTCTTGGTGGGGCCAACTATTTTGTCACTTTCATTGATGATTATTCCAGGAGGAATTGGGTATACCCGATGAAGCATAAACATCAGGTCCTGGATATTTTTGTGGAGTGGAAAAAGAAAGTGGAGCTGCAGACAGGTAGAAAGGTGAAGACTCTACGTTCAGATAACGGTGGAGAGTACAAGAGTGATCCGTTTCTGCAGTTTTGTCGGGATCACGGCATTAAAAGACACTTCACAGTTCGAGAGACACCGCAACAGAATGGGGTGGCTGAGAGATTGAACCGTACCTTGCTGGAGAAGGTGCGGTGTATGATGACGCAGAGTGGATTGCCTAGATCCTTTTAGGCTGAGGCGTTAGTTTATGCGAGATATCTCGTGAACAGGTTGTCGTGCACTGCGATAGATGGGAAAACTCCTTTGGAGCGTTGGTTTGGTTCGGTGGCTAGTGACTACGAGTCGCTTCGGATATTCGGGTGTCCAGCTTATTATCATGTCAGTGATGGTAAATTAAATCCGAGAGCGAGGAAAGCAGTCTTTGTGGGATTTAGAGATGGAGTCAAAGGCTTCAAATTATGGGATCCACAGGACAAGAAGATAGTTATTAGCAGAGATGTCACATTTGACGAGGCGTACATGATGAGGCCTCGAGCCCCTCAGCAGGTGGAGGGAGACCAGACAGGAGAGATATCGCAGCAGGTGGAGGTTGATGTGACTCCACCCACTCCAGAGAACACTGTATCCATTGAGGCTCCTACAGAGGTGACACTGGGAGGAGATGAGATGACAGATGGGCAGATACAGGATACAGTAGATCATGGGACTCAGGAACAGGGTCATGTTCAGAGGACCATTGCAGCAGATAGACCGAGGAGAGAGATTCGTCGGCCAGCTAGGTATAATGATGTCATGGTCGCATATGCATTATCAGTGGAGGTCGTTGATGATATGGTTCCAGCCACATTCAGGGAGGCAGAGTCTAGCCCCGATTCGATCAGGTGGAGGGAAGCTATGGAGGAGGAGATGCGGTC